ACTGGAGGTAAATATTTTCCACACGAATCACAAACCCTGTGGGACTCCTACATCAGTTACATTTTATGTAGAGTCTACAATCTACTTCCTCTTAGATTTATAGACCTTTGACATGAACACATTAAAACAAGACATGTCATACTCATAGATGCTCACAAAGAGCAATCAGTAAATGTAGGCATTTGCATCAGAGAAAAGACAGAATATCAAACTTCATAGATAATTACGTACTCGAGAAATTGTTATCACCCAAAGTGAACCCATGTAAGGATGTATGATTTATGTGCGTAAAAGTTTTAAATAAATAAATATGTAAATAAGGGCCATACGCAAAAACGTGTGAAAGGCCCCCACATAGGTCCGGAGCCCCGGAGTCCGGTGGCGCGGTGGAGAGACCGCAACATTTCCTGGGCCTCGGGCCGCTTCCTCGTGCGGGCACGTTTCCTGACACGCCGGTTCGATGCCGCGGCTGTGCAATACGTGAAGTGCTCGTAAATTAAAGAATATGACGTGGTTAAGTAAAAGTATAAACATTCCTCACGCTGTTAATTAAATTGCATAAAAGACTCATTTACTTTAATCAAACCTTTTTGGAGACTGGGATAAAACATAAGTAAGCAACAGCTTTTTAGGATATTTACGGAAAAAGTAGATGTGGTTCTATTGCCTATTTTTTGCGGTAAATTACGTTTCTCAATTCTCATAATACTTTTTTCTATTCGTCAAATCACTTAAATCGTATTCATATTTGGACGCGGCGCCATCTCGCGAGTGTTTGTAACCGCGAATTATCCCGCAATCGCAGCTTCACGAGAATCACCACATCCTTATTGTAGACATGTACTTATTAGCAATATGTCTTCTTGATTTAAATGAATATAAGTTTCCTAACAGTTTTGTACTGAAAAACGTCTTAGGTACGCTGTTGTTTGAAAACTTGCTTTTAAAGGGCTTTATACGTCCAAAAATTATCTTAACATGCATGATTTAAGATCGTTAGGTTCTAATAAAACACTCCGGTAGTTCACAAAGTTACATCTCTTGATAGACTCAATGAAAGCGACACCAATACCGTAGCGCCCTACGCCGCGCCCCAGAAAGCCGACCGCATCTAACGGCTGCGGTCGAAACGCGACCCGCGGCGACTGCGGCGCGGTAACGCACCTGAAACGCGATACTCAAGCGTTTCCGCTACAGTAATAAATAACAATGGGAAAGTATTTATATCATATGGAAATATTAATAAATATTAATATTCGACGGTTACAACTCTAGCTTTGGTACAGTTCGATTCGTGTCACAGTTGACATGATTGATAGGGTTTGAATGAGCACGAGCTTTATAGACGAGTCATGGAGTTTGAATATTGAATTATTGTCATTGTGTTTTTATACTGGGTCACCTTACAAGCTTAGATTAGTTTTAATTTAATTTAGTTTTGATTAAAAATATAAAATGTACCCAGGAAAGAAACGTGGAGTATTGTGGAGCTCTTGGATACCTCGCAGACAACAGAAATTCCTCAAATACTTATCGTTGTAGTGAGATAGGAAGAATGTAAACAAGCATTAAATCCATTAAAAGAAAAGAGCATTAAGCCACCGGCAATAACGAACGACACAACACAGCGCCGTATGTTATGGAGTTACCTGCGGCGGGACGGGAATAGCCGCGGTCTGAAATAGTCGCGGCAAAAAAACGACGGTTCCGCTCCTACTGCTGCCACACCGCGCCCGTGGCTAGGGGTGCCACTTCTAATACATTATTATAATTAGCCGTTGGATTATCAGTTAAGTCCACTGCTAAGCAACGGCTTTACGTGTCGCAAAGAAAGCTAGGCTTTACGCGCTAACTTGGGCTGTATACATTTTTTGTAGATTACAGAAAACTGTGAAATGTTCTGGCTGCTGGATAGATAAACACAAAATAAAAACAAACTGAAAGTGACTAAAATAATAAACAAAGTGATCCTATAAGATACCGATTTTCCTTTTGAGGTACGGTACCCTAAAAAAACATTCTTTTAATATTCGTGACCTCTATAAAAAGTTGATCGTAGTTTATATTATTTGGGTGCCTCCAAGCAGCTCTGGTTGCCAAAATTGGCTGTTATCAGAATATCAATCTAAGAGAGTAGTCAGCCCTGACTGCGCCCATGCGTCTAGTCATCATACAAAGTTACGCTGCACTCGCCCTGCCATTCCTCGGACATTCCGGGAAGCGCCATTTGTCTTCCGCCGCGCCTACGGCCAATTAGGGAATTAATATTGGCGCACTTTAATGGGGACTTTGAGGGGAATTAGCAACGATCATTCATTTAAATGCACAATCGCATAAAAGGAAAAAGTTGATAGTCACACAATCCGCTAAAAATGACATTTCGATTGCAAAATAGGGTAGTCTGAAAAACAATTTTCAGGTAAAATACTACCCACATTTCATCCTACAGTACATCAAGGAAAACGGCCTGGTATTTTGAGAAAATTGCAGAGAAGCTGTTAAAGTCTTATCAATGATCCCCTAAATTCCGCATTTCCAGCTTTTTTATGCAATTGTAGAATAATTTACATGCCCCACCCCCTATGGCGTGCCGCATCGTCAGCGGAAGCGCTCCCCCTCCCCCCTCCCAAAAGCCCCCCACGGCGCGTTCATTGACGGCGACGAGCTTTTGTCATCTCAATGAGCCACCCTCGGCGGAACACAAGTGCTCTGTGGCATGAAGTGTTGAGGATTCAATTGAGTATGCTGTCCTTTGATTTAGTTAGTAATAAATAATCAAATATGTGAGAGTAGAGAGGATCAGCTACGCGTACAAAGACATAATGCTTATTGTTCTAATGTAAATTATGTAGGTATGTATTTACCTATTTAGTTACGAGTAATAGAAATATTTTAGAAGAAATCTTTGTTTTGTGACGGTATTATCTTGCTATATTAAAGCTTTAGAATTTATTTTATTGCATTGGTTAATGGCGAGTAATCAATTAAGTACAAAACATTATTACACGTTTGGAATACTCATGTGGTTTGGAATAAAAGCTTCAGAAACATTCATAAAAGCTCTAGTGTGTCTGACAGCTCTTTCATGTTACTGAAAAGGAAAATACTTGTAATTTTCAAAGAGCTGCAACTGCTCCAAGAATGAATAAACAAACATTCATTCACTCATATGCGTGTGGTGGAAATGAATAAAATGTGGAATAATGAACTTCACTTGAATGAACTTACGCAGTTTTTAATTTACTGTGTAGGTAATGACGTGTGGACCGTTTATAAAGTTTATTCAACTAGTTGTATAATAAGAGTACTTCCACAATTTATTTTTCTATTTTACACCAGATCATTGTCTTGTATATAAGTAGTAGCTTAGCTTAGCTTACGCCCGTATTCACAAACATTACTATGAGATGAGGTCTCCCAGTGCGCGTGGAAGCACAGGGTGACACAGGTACCGATCACAGAACTCCATTTAACGCTGTGCGTTCGATTTGCCGATTCCACTTAAGCAAGCATCGTTTGTGAATACGGGCGTCAGATATTTTACTTAACAGCAGTCGTTCGTAGTATTGAAGAAAGTTTCGAGCTCTAGCCATTGAGATGTAGCGTCCTGCGCCCACGCAGGCGTCGCCATTAACGCTAAGAACCCTCCATCATTCCTGTTCTCTAAGATAAGTTTGAGAAAACAATTCAATAGATTTTACAGAGCTAAAACGGAATTAATGGCACAAAGGAAAGAAAATTATTAATATGACGATTAAAGTAAACAGGTACGAAAAATTCACAACTAAGGATTGCTTTCTCATACTCATCATTACTACGAGTATTTGCATATGCTGTTTAGAATAAACTTTCAAATTCAAATTCTTTATTGCTCCATGTTGGTATACAAAGGTTCTTACTTATTAGACATAGACTCATAACATGGACCCTGCTAGGGTATTGCAACATGAGATTATTTCTTTACTTTATTAACTAATGTTTAACAATGCTAATTTTTCACAAATTTTTCTTTATTATCTTTCACAGAATCCATCACTTTTCTCTCTTCATGAATAGGCCCACTAATTACAAAAGTAATTCCGCTGATGTCTGTCACAAGACCCGCGACCGCAACTCATTTCTGTGTAGCAACAAGACAACTCACAATGTAGAGTTAACAGCTCACAATCTTTGCTTCTTTTCAGCTGTAATATAAATAATGGCTGAGTTAAGTAGGGAGCCTTCTGTTTAAAACAATTGAGTAGGTAACTAACTTTGTACCTACGTTTTTTTATTATCTCCTTTAGATTATGTAATGTTATGTAATTCAAACAACAGGTATGTTAAATTTACAAGTCGACATTTTTTTTTTCTAGTTAGTAAATTCTAGTTTAATATTGTGTCTGATAATGCTTGTCAAAAATAATTTATAGTGTGTGTGTACATAAAAAGCATGTAAAATCAAATACTGTACTTGTGTTGCATATCTGCTATCTCAAGCTGAATAGCGACGTACAGACGATGGCACATCAAGCTCAATACTGTGGCATACTAAGTAATAGGCACTATTATGCTCCAATAACGTTTAGTCTGATGTGCTTCCACTATAAGCGCTTGCGCAGCGTGCTGATGGCTGTCCCTTAGCGTTTATTGCGCGCGCCCACGCGAGACGCAGGGAAATGCCCCACTGAGCGGAGCGCCCTATATTTACACCGATCCTACACGATTGTTAACTGTTGTAGTGAAACATATCGCATTGATGAGTCCAAACACTTGACTGCCTGATTAAGTGGTCTCTTTTTGATCCTGGCACAATGCAAACATTTGATTATTTAGTATCTGTTTATATTGTTCGTCTGATGATATCTATTTTACAAAAAAAAAGGATTGCTATAGCTGTTGGGCTAGCAGATGAAGCTTTTTAAAATGTACAAAGACATTTATTAATGACAATAATAATAGAAAACTACAGTTAACCCACACGATAGAAGAACAAGCAGAAAAGTGAAACACTAAACGCTTTAGCATTCGGGTATTGAAGCATTGACAGATCTACGCAGCGAGCTTGCTGTACCAGCAATGAGCAGGCGCAGCGCGTGCGCGGGCGTCGCGCTCCAGTGGCCGCGCTGATGAAAGTACACATCTGGAGCAGCGGGCTCGTGACCTAGGACTGGCGAGGGCTTGGTTTCCGCTAACCTCATGAAACATTTAAGACATTCAGTTTAGACTTTGTTACCGCTAGAAAGGTGCTTATTTCTTCCAAATACCACAACCCTGGTTTCAGATAAAGCACCTGATGCACTGCCCTACGTGTCTAACAACTGCACGCAGGAAGATTTAATGAATGCCACTGACAACGCCACTCTTGTAGCGGAGTTTTGAGCTGACAATGTATAGGTTTGTTGTCGACACGACCAGAAGAAGAATAACTACTGGTAGCAGCAAATTTTATGCAAGAATTAAATAAATAAGCCTTTATGTTCATGTTTAACCTTATGAGATTTGGATATTCAACAGTTGGGTCGACTACACCCGGTGCCATGTGGCGCGAAGTGTCAGGTGTTACTTTAATAGGGGCGTTTTGGCACAGGTGAAGTATTTATAATAGGGTAGTATTTATGCGTACACAAATTATACGAGGAATTTTGACATTATTATTTATTAAGTAGGTTGTATTCCCTGTAGATTACGTTGGGCTTTCGTAAAATTCGATAAAAATATTTTTAGTTTAAATAAAATTGTACACCGACCGTTGAAAAATTCCTAATCGAACGACTCTATCTTTGCGTCTAGTAATATTTACAATGCTTCATAAATTGAATTCAATGTACAATAACTTAATTTTGACTTGTTAATCGAAATGTAAGCATGTGATTACACCCCTACCTGTCAGCAGTTCATAGTGCTGTTACTCCGTTGTCAGAGTACCGCTGACGATCACGTCACTTTGCATATCGAGTCAATCGGGTTGCGTAACGATGCAGCCGTTATCTGTGTCAGCGCTCATCGATAAGCGGTGCAGCATCGATTACTGACCGCAACATCGATTTACATTCCTTCAGCGTAAAAACGATATTTGTAAACGGATTTCAAAGAGAAGGACACTTTGGTTTAGTAGTACTAGTCAAGGATCAGTGTAAGTTTTTCCCAATAAGAAAAATCTATTATAGAGCATCGACAACTTAGATTGACAATGGAATAATATCAACAGTACTTCAAACTATGCATGTCATTTAATAGCAAAATAATAGCTATTACATTTTTATAACATGCCGCAGTATTAACCTAGTGTGCTTTCATTCTTGCGAGATTTATTTATGCGTTTATTAGGTACTAGCTTTCCGCCCGCGGCTTCGCCCGCGTGGAATTTTGTCTGTCATAGAAAAACTTTATCGCGCGCGTCCCTGTTTCAAAAACCGGGATAAAAACTATCCTATGTTCTTTCCCGGGACTCAAACTATCTCTATGCCAAATTTCATCAAAATCGGTTGCGAGGTTTAAGCGGGAAAGCGTAACAGACAGACAGACAGACAGACAGACAGACAGAGTTACTTTCGCATTTATAATATTAGTTGGGATTAAGTATGCGTTACTAATAAATAGTTTAATTGTATTATGGTGTTAACACACGCTGTGAAGATACACAATTCCCAATTAATCTTCTTGCCACCATTTTTTCTCGCAATAAAGTATCGCTATCATGCACCCGTACGTACGGTACTTACTGAACATGTGTGTGAGCACCGCCATTGAATGCTAACGACAACCCATTGCCCTGGTGATCTTCACACAATTGTACTTATTGTGTTGAAACGTCCGTCTGTCTGTACACGGTCTTTATTCCGAGCCAATACCAACCTTAATCGTCTCTACTTAAAGTAGCTGGAACTTGAGTAAATAGAAGAGAATTAGGTTTTGAGTCTTTTATTAGAATTCTATAACACGCCTGACACGCCAAACAAGGTGGAACATATAATTTACATTTTCCACAAATCATTTAAACTAAAGAGGTGATTAGGCATTCTATTCTACTTACACAATGAGGTCATGACCTCAAAGTGTGTAAAATGTAATTAAAATAGTAATCAGCTTATCAATTTCTGCGGTGGTTATGGAATTTACGTTAACAAACATTGTGTAATTGTTAATAATCGTAATATGAATTAATAAATCGTTCGTTCGTTCAGCCAAATGACGTCCACTGCTGGACAAAGGACTCCCCAAGGTTTAATCGGTCCTGCAATGCCCGCATCCAGGATCTTCCCTCGACCTCATATAATCAGACCTCATAAGAATTTATTATCTATTCTGTGGTATTACTGCGATTGGTTCTATACGCATACCTATCCAAATAGTACCTATCAATGTTTATTTAAGCTACATCACTTTCTTCTTTATTCTGAAGTGAACTTCATAATCTCCATAACCAACATCGATGGCCCCGCCCACTTGGTGGTTAATACCTCTCCGCAGCCATAACATATTGTCCAAACACTATCGTGGAGTGATGTTACACCGCAGCGCTGCGTAACATCTCTAACAAAACAAAGCGGCATTGTTGTAACAGTGTAAACAAAGCTACGGTGCGCAGGCGCAGCGGCCTGTTCGGCGGGCTGAGAGGACGATGGACAGATGCATCTGTGGTCAATCAAAAATAAATTTTGTTTTGATTTATGTTATTCTGTTAAAGGTAGAGAAAGAATTTTAATTAAGTGACCGGAAATACTTTATGCCCAGATTTGCCAATTCTGACTCTCCTTTTTCATAAGTCAAAGACCAAATGGGAGACTCGCGATTTCTTTGTCCCATCTCCCATTGTACACATCACCGACAAGACAAAGTCCTGATGGAGTATTTTCTCATCCCTCATTTGAAACTGAATTGCCGTCAACTTGGTAAAAAGAAGGTTAAAGAATTTTGGTTGACAAAGAATAAGCACTTATGTGTAACATACTAGTCCCTTGGTTATTAAATTCGTTACGTCAAATAACTTCAATCAAGGTCTTACTAATTAAGAAAGCAAGTATATATACATCTCGTTTTGCGTTATCTATTAAGTATTTAATTAGTATCAAACTAACGAGACTTTTAAGTTTATGTAATGGCTATAATGTGAGCTATATTGTGGTTAGGTATAGCACGCGAATTGTTATTGTGTCTCGTATATTCAGTAATTAATTTGATAATAATAATAACTTGTTTCAACCAATGGGAGGATAATAAGTTCGAACAGACAGTTACTCGGGTTGTCCATTAGACACACCTGTCATGGCGTGTTCCAGCGCAGGACGTGCGATGCGCAGGAGTGTATTATTTGTGGCCACGAATAGATCGGTTTATGGTTAGGCTGAAAGGGCCTGTCGGACGGACAGTTTACTGGCGATGATAAATAGACTGAAGGAATATCTTTGGTAGCCAATGACTGACTATTGTTGGACTGACTGTTGTTGTTACACAGTGTGCAGAAGGATAATATAAAACACAGTTTTCAAGAATAGACAAGTGCGAAAGCTTTCTGAAATAAAACTATCGAAAGTAGACGGAAAAAGCTACATATTTACATTTTGAGTTTACTTTAGGGAATGATCATAAATACTACCCAAACCAAAGATACACAACATAGGGTTTTACTCGTAATGTTTTGCTTTTCAAATACATAAGTCTTTCGTGCTTATTATTTTGGTTACTTCAATGAACACGATGTCAAGCTTTTAAAGCATCTATATGCGGGATGTAAGGAAGCAGTCGAAATAGTGACGAGTTAGCAACACATTGTACAGTTAGGGTTGCCAACTTTTCTTTTCAATTTCGATTTTCAGTTGCTCAAGGAGTTGATTGAAATAGGCTTTAGAAGTTTTTGCAGTTGTTGTGTGTGTCTTCTGGTGGCTTAATTGCAGTAGTTACAATTAAGCCACCAGAAGCTTAAAATCTGATGTGTTGTTGTGGTCCCTTAATTTTTATAACCCACGCTATGGAAGGACACTAATAAATTATGTGTAGTAATATACCAACCAAGGTTAAATGAATATAAAATCAGTCAATTGATGACAAATAAAAATAATGTAACTGACGTAAATAACAATCACAGGCAAATACATCTGAAATGTGTATCAGTCAACAACCCTAGCCGTTATGCGCGTACGCACTGCGGATTGAAACTATCGGATCGAAAGCGGAACCAATTGCGTCAACCGATGATCTGCACTGCAAGTGGGCCAGTGGACTGCTGAGAGCGAGCATTCCTCGGGCGAGGTGAAAATGGCAGCAATCATCGCGCACTCGCAATTAGTCTAATCTACAATTAGCGAGAACACGAGGTTGTACTAACATCAGAACGTAAAAACCCAAATCCAGTAAGAAGCTCTCAATTCTTTGTCATTATACGAAGACTGGATCCAGGGAACTTTTAAGTTTTTGAACGATTTCAGAACATGATGACGTGCATCAATGATCTCTCGAAGATGTGCAGAATAAATCCTCATCAAAAAATTTAAAAGTTAACAATAAATAGGTTTGAATTGATTCATATGAAACCTTTTGAGGAAAATGTCATTTACATGTAGCTGCAAACTTACTGAAGTTCGTTCTCCGCGACACCAAGGCCGGCGGCTCTATTGTCGTAACATCTTCGGTAATTAAGTGTAGCGTAACCGGCTTAATATTCATAGTTCATACATTATCATCTGTCCGCCGCCGCTGCGCGTGCGCTTTCAAAGCAATGAACTTGTCTGCCGACTCTACAGACTACTTCTTTCTAACTCGTATCGTATGTAATTTTTATTTAATACTGACGGAAAAATAATAAATAGCTTTAATGATTGTTCCTGCTAGAACAAATGATTCTTAAAAACTGACAATTTATTTTTATTATCTCTTTAATTAGTGGAATCACGAAAATTATAGAGAAAGGCTACACAAAAACTAGTAAATCCAAAACATCACTGGTAAGCAATGAAAATAGCGAATGTTCATAACTTTACCTCCTTTTCTTTTGCGACATAGCAAGTGCAATAGATTTTTCATACGGCGTCTGTTGATCCAGCTGGTCTGTGACTCTGTGACGAAGTGTATTATCGAGTTACATTCATTATGCAAACGTAAACGTTTCAATGAATGACATTACCGCCTCTTGGCCGCAGAGAAACTAACATTAGTTCACATTGTAATAGATGCATTTACAGGAGACGTAGTGTAGTTAACTACCTACTTACAAATGACTCATTAAATACACAACTAACACTTCTGTTAATAATATGTAATTATTAACTCTCTTAAGAATATAAAGTAAAGAATACTCGTAGTAAGTAAAGCATGTGATGTCTAGTTCTCTACTTTAAATGAAAATCATGTAATTTTATTAAATCTTTTAGTTTTAACTGTAGAGCTTAAAGTTTAAGTCAAAAATTAATTTTGCAAATTTTTAGTTCCCACAATTTAAAGTAATTAAATATTGTTTAAAGGACAAAATAATCTTCTTTAAGAAAGCAGCAGTGTTTTGTTTTTTTTACAATTCGAGTTGAATCATTTGAAGAGATATGACATAACATAGTAGTGATTGTGACCGGCGGCGGCACGAGACGTGACCGCGACGGGAATCGAACCGATTGCCCGCGGCCGTGAAGCGGAACCAAATAAACAATTAGTCGTTTTGATTGAGAGCGCCGACGGTCGTGGGTTACAATTGATTTCATGTCGGTCAAATAAGTCAATATTGTCATTTCTTCTTTTGGGAGTGAAAACGTTTTGACTTTCGTTGTGTTTTCAAGTGATTTGGTTTTTGTTATTATGTTTTTCTTTACTAAAGATTGAACATTGTTACAGAAATGCAAATTCTAGAAATGTACAGGTAATGTCTTGATTTTACTAGTCTTCAGTTTTGTGTTCATTTGCATTTGTAACCTAAACCAAACGGCAAATATGTAGCATAAGCTTCAATTGCTTGTTTGGATCGTTTTTCACTAATTCAGTTTTCAGTAGTTGTCCTCACTCACCCTATAAAAGCGACCTCTGTACTATGTAAGTTAGTCTATCGTTTTGTTCAAACAAAGCAAGTTTACTACAGAAATTGGAACCGATGGCGTGCTCAATACTTTGGATGAAATCAATCTTATAAACTCAATAATCGGTTGCTTTTCTTTGTTTTTTTTTGCCTTTATGTTCATATAGTTCGCTGCAGATTTGTTACACTTGAAACCGTACTCACAACGATGGTTCAGCCTTTAAACTTTCCTCACGCCGTATCTCACGGAGTGCCCTAAAAGGCCCGCCCATTACGCCCAATGTGTCCGCGATAAGCCGATAAACCTTTGCTCTTAGAAAGCTGATAAAACACACTAATATGCCCCCTATTGTACACAAATATAAGGCCAGTAATAGCTTGAAATGTTAATGACGTGTGGTTAAGTTAAATTCGTTACGTGGCCCTTATGTCGAGTAGTGCAATTATGGAGATGTAGGTTTCTTTGATACGCTAACAGCCGAATGTTAACATCGCACTAAACAAAGTTAAGGCAACATCATTTTGCCTTAGACCACAAATTCAAATAGTCTATTCAGGACATAGGCCCTTTCTAGGGCACAACACGCCAAAATAATAGCTTGCCCTACCACGATAAAAAGTCTACTAGAAAAATCAGGGTTGGGGTCTGCTATAGATGCTGATAAAATTTCTAGTAAATAAGATGTTAATAAAGAGAACATTAACCCTAGTAAACGAGCGGACCTAAAGCTGATGCAAATGGAAAATAATTTAAAAACAAAGGCTGTCTGTCCGTCTGTAGTATCCCGACGATAATCATCAATCATGTCGTCTTAATTACGAGACAAACAATGCTTGATTGGGATTGCCTTTTGTGCCTTGCTTTATAGCCAATTATTACTGATTAGAATTTTGACTAACTCGCAGAGTAAGAAAGAAGGAGAACGTATAATGCGCATTATGAAGCTATACAATCATGTTACATCATGGAAATAGTTTTTATATAATTTGACTTCATAATCATTGAAAACATTAACTTGCATACGATTACCGCAGCTAATATGCAAAAACAAAGTCGTAATGGAGAGGAAGAAGTGGAAATAATTGCACCAACTGACGTTTAGTAATCAAGCTGATCTTTATTGAACGTTCAAGACTTAAATTGCAATAAGTACTTATTCTAACCGCAATTGCTCTTACTTTTATTGGATTACCTAGGCACTTACAGCGAAGCATTATTGGCCACATAAATTGCGCGTAAATATTAAGTGTCTCAATTAAAAGGTCTCTGCGGTGGTCCGAGGCCGTGGCCATACCGAGAACTCCGAAAAATGACTGCGTTAAAACTGTGCCATCTGTCTTGCGGCGCTGGCGACGTGTGTGGCGACTCGCGACGCGGCGATGCTTCTCCCCGGCTCTACCAGTTCCTATTGAACTGTAGACGGTTGTTTTTACAAGCTATCAATAAACGTTGCTATTTTTCTCTCTTCGCTTGGTTTTAACCACACAATTGAGAATTCAATAACTTAATATCATCTATGAATCGATAGTGACATTCAATGTGCCTGGGCAGGTTGCTACAGACCTTCCCAGGAGATTAGCTCGCGATGCTCGATCTAAACTGGATTATAGCGCGAGACCTTTCTTGTTAGTACGGTGTTCTTGAGAGCTAGATTACTAGTGTGCTTAGACAAAAAAAGGCGTATCGGTGTGTAGTATATTCTGCCTTGAAATTTTTGTCAGGATGTATCTTTAAAAATATGAAACGGAAATACCGTTATACCAAAACTTTTACGTGTTAATTATACCATTGGAAAGAACAGTAATATTAAACCTACAGTATCACTATCTAACTTCCATGTGTTAAGATTTTACACATAAATTAACATCTCAAGTTAAAATAAAAAATAAATAAAAAAACAAGTAATTGCTACAAGTATCGTTGTTAACGCTGTGTTAATTGTTCGAATTTTATCACGATCGGCTGGTCGCGTGAAAATATGTATTTTACGCCTTTCCGAGTGACTTGCGGTTGATCGATGTGATTAGATATCAAATGAAATTGATACGTTAACTGTTGCAAATGACAATAATTAACAAGGCATTTTTCACGGTGCGTAGTAAATAATAACTCAATAAAATATTTCAGTCTGACCAGTTTTTTCGTCGAAATAAATTATGTAGAAATAAATAAAAATAAATCTTTAAATAATCAAGTCTCTTAGCTAGTAACACAAAAAATACCTACTGCTCCGAAAAGTTCTAACTGAGCTTTCAAAGCTTCATTCGTATTTGCTGTGAACGAAGCTGAGCAATTTTACCTTACGGGCTATTTGAAAGTTTAGTCGATAAATCTTCATGCAAAAAAACAAATAGACTTTAAGAGTTTTTCCCGTCAGCACTTAGTGAAGGTATTACGCGTTACTCACCAGTGGAAAGTGATAGAGAATACTTTTTATTTGATACCAAGAACGCTCGGGAAAACATTACTTGCTCTTGCCTTTTTGAGTTGAGACAAATTGATCGATAAAAAGAATTGAGGAGAGTTATCATAGTATGGAGAGACGACAGGCTAGTTTAGCTATTGACAGTAAAAGTACGCAGTCTCGTTAAAATTAATTTGTAGTAGTCTCTTGAAAGTATTTAGCTCGATGAACTGACCGAGCAGCAATTTCGGTTGATTGATTTTAATTTAAAATTTGTAGATTATTATGAAAATACAGTTGTCAATGAGAACTGGTTATTCCTGGCTACCTTTGTTATTGAATACGAGCTATACACACATACTATGAGTTTACACATTGCAGTACTCACCGGGTTCAAGACAGGCGTCGCATCATACAAACAACAGCGAACTGGAACAAAAGAACGCGCCGTTAGTGCACACTTCGTGGAACATCACTATTGCTTATTGTAGGGCTTTTTGTGGAAACAAATATAGGTAGCATAGTGGGATTTCAAGATAGTATTTGCATATACAGGGTGTTAGGTAAATGGGTATATGAGCCGACACTAGCCCATGTTAATATGGTCATATAAATGGTATGGTGAAGTCAGAAATTTGATATCATTTTAATTTTTTTTAATTTTCATACAAAATATTTTTTATAAAATCGGATTTGTATGAAAATTAAAATAATTAAAATGAAGATATCAATTTTCTGACTTCACCATACCATTTATATGACCATGTTAACATGGGCTAGTGTCGGCTCATATACCCATTTACCTAACACCCTGTATACAGGAACATAGAGCGTGAAAAGGAACTCTTTACTATAAGACATTGGCCACCGAGTTGTTTTCTTATGGGTTTAATAAATTATAACGTGAAAGGTAAATTACAAAATAGTGAATTATTTACATGGTTATTAAGCGTGGTCACAATAATTTGTAACCTTTAATAACGCAGCATATTAAGGTAATCTGTAGCAAGCATGAAAGGTCGCTGTTGCAATGTAATAGCGCCCATATTTGGCAGTTTACTCGCTTTATGGGTCATTTGACTAGTAACAACACTCGTTACGGGTATAAAACCGTCACGGATTAACATAAGGTTTAAAATGTTATTTTCTATTACTTCATCAGCAAAAGAGAGTTGTAAACCATTGGTACTTCGTGAACTTTTAACCATATGTAGTTCCCAGTTGAGTCTACAGCTTTTAAATTAATCAATGACAAAAATTTGGTTCGATTGAGCCATATTAGAGTCAAGACACCCTATGGAGGCAAATAAATTCGAAGAGAAATAAGCTAAAATTGGCAAAAATCTACGGCTAGCGGTATTGTTTGTAGCTTTTTTGATTAGCCTCTAGCTTCCTTAAACGTATGAATCATCCGCAAGTTGCGGCGGCTCCCTGCGTTCGCGCATCGCATCAGCTGCGCGCGGGGCGATGCAAATCGCCGGCTTTCTCCTGCGCTGGGCAGTGTTGCCCGGTAGAATCATCGAGGATCAGGATAACAAATTATGAGAAAAACAGAACTACCACCCTATTAAACACTTGGTGAAGTTTAACATTTTTGATTATGCATTGCCGTTATTACTAATCGCAAGGGTAGAAGATTCGTAGTATACTAAACTCACATTCGCGTCTGAGTAGGTTCTTTTAATGGAAATATTTGTTTTCAGATTAAACTCCTATAAAGTCTTATATTCCTTACCATTGTAAAGTTATCATTTAATACAAATTCTAATAAACTGTTCTAACTAACACCCTTGCATTATTTACTAGAAGTATGTAACTAATATTAGTAAAAAACACGATTAAAACACTTGCCTAACTGCTTATATCGATAGTCTTCCGACTCTATAAGTGTGCCATAACCGGTCCCTGGTCCAGGATCGCGAGGTGGTTCTCATTTCCGCGTACAGTTGTTAGCCGTTCATTAAAATGCCTGCGTACGCGCAGCTTTTTGTTTTGATTGCAAATAGATCGCTCTGATTCTGAGACTACCGTTTTCACTAAAAGTAGTCACGTCAGTTTTAACAAAAACCTAAGGTTTCAAAAACATATCCCACCGTTAAAAAGGGTAGATATTTAATATTCGACCTAAAAATTAATTAAGACTCATCTGTAGATCTACCTACATATAAACGAATTATGTTTAAAATATTCTTGTCCTTTTTTATTTAATGAGGATGCAAACATATACTTTTAGTTTTAGTATGGTTATTGCATCATAATTGAGCCCAGTGCGTTTAAATTAAAGGTCGAAGCAAAAAGTAATTGGATATGATATGATGTTTTTTGCTATTAATTTTAGTTGCCGCATTAATTTTAATTTGTGCATTTAAATTGGCAATTTAAAAATGCCAATATTGTATTGTTGATTACTGGTTTAAACTTACTAACCATTTTAGCAGTACTAATTTAACTACTTAAAAAATCTTTTACTACATGTGACATTCTCTGACTCGTCTCTTTAATAAATAATTTATATCGATTAAAAAACTATTTTAATATTAGAAAGCTCCAATTATTCACAAACACTTTTACTTTCCATAAGCACCCGAACATCATCATTATCACTTAGATAACCTGTTTGCATAATAATGACAAGAACACCCATTAATCGATAAGCGAATGTTAAACATGTAATAAAATGTTATACAAATTCACGTAATGCCACCGAAGCGATTAGATCGCTTTTTATGGTTGACCCGTCGGAATTCGTTAACGCCGATTACGAACGGGTTGATATAACAAACGATTAGTCGAGACGAGAGTCAACATGTAATAAATAAACCAAGAGTTTCCACTGCACAACACGGCACGTCACCCGTTAAGTATAACGCGGCTGACCTAAGCGTGTATTAGAAATTGTCAAATATAGATTTTTTTTTATCAGGGGAACTTTTCAGAATTTCAGTATGAAACAGAAAAAACAGAGAAAATAGGAAACCTTATAAGCTCACTTTGTTGTCTCTACTGAGATTCGGAAGTGAAATGAAACCAAGTTCATTAGACTTAAAATCACAGCACACACCAGTTTGAAACTACCGATGTTTTTGGCAGTAGAATTTAAAGGAGGTCGTGCAAAATCGTGGGACAACGCGAACGCAGTCGCGTCGCCTTGACCGTGGCAGTGAGGTGCGCGAGCGCCGCGAGAGTGAAAACCGCTCTGAGCCGATGATTTATTGTTTGCTTTCCAATCAAACCACTTCGATATATTTGATTAAGTGTCTGCAACACGATGAAGATCATAACTTGATTGAATGATTAAGATTAAATACATATAATCAAAATTAACACTATTTGATTGGAGACTCTCCATCGTGAGCCAAGATTGTGAGATGACCTACCTGATGGATAACCTAACCTATGCCCAGAAAAAGTTGCTATTGGATATTGGACCCCGATAAGGAATCTGTGAAACCTTTACATAATTGGGTTGCAAAATTACAGTTTCAACCTTAGAAAGTTATGATTTATCACACAAGACATTTTAAGGCAATTCCTTTAAATACACCTATGGGAATCATCACGTACTTAAGCAGTTTCAATACAATGAAATTGAGAAGTCTCAAAGCAGTCTCTTCCACCAAGTACCTATTAATGAAACCACAATTTACTATTGAGAACTTTTAATGTGTCCGAATTCGGAAAAAATACATGCCTAACAGAGAAAAACGTGTAAACAAATCTGTATTTCACCTTGATCGCTGTTTCTTATACCTATAGTTAGTATAGTATAGTTAGTTCACTGATAAGAGTTTTATTAGCATTTCTCCTCATCACAGTAGGTAGGTCATAACTGGCATAACCGAGCGAAAAAACTCGCCGAACAACGGTAGAATTGACGTCATTATTGGTAACTAAACCTTGATCTTAATACCTGATACAAACGGGTTTAAACTTTAAACTTTAAACACTACAAGAGAGAGAAATGTATTTCACTATTAAATTCGACCACACCTGGATAAGTCATCAGAGCACTGGTATGCAAGCTTGAACAGCCTTGTCGAGAAAGAACCAGCAATTCTTTTTAAACGGTTCGTTTCAGGATGATTCTACAAACAATGATATAGGTAAGTGCTAATAAATTATGATAATATTTTCATTCCTTGGAACTATGACAAATGTTGCGTTGTCAATCCATAATAATATTTATAATTTCAAATGTGCGCTAAATATTAGGTCAGTAATGGGGCTAACTTTATAAATATAACTGATATAACTTGCATCGTTGTAAGCCTATTGCAATAATCGATTATTACTGGACCTATTTCGACATGTTATTGAAATCATGAAAAGAAAACCGGCTATATTTCATAATAAAATTATGTGCATTATTATTTTAATAATATGTAAAGCTGTTATTTTCATTCCGGGCGCCTGAGTGTTTCCAATTACATACTCGTACTTAAAGCACAAGTCGTTCCGAACCAGTGGGCATGTTCTGTTGGTTATTGTGCGGAGATGCAAATATCAAAATAAAAAATTATTTAAAAAATATATCCATGTAAGTGTTGATTTGATACTAACCAAAGTACAATTAATTGAAAATGCCCAGTCTTAGGTGGGCTAGCATCTGTCTGCCTGAAGCCGGCAAACAAAGCTCTGTGCATGGCACTACTGTACCTGAGTCTTCTATATTTATAAACAAGAACGTACAGTCAGTGTTTTCATATTAAATGGATAATTTACAACTCAAAACAGCCGCTCGTTTACCCCACCGTGTCGCAAGTGTGAAATTATTCTTGTATACGGCAGTTCTTGAATAATTCAGGGAGCTAACTCCGCAATGTGTTTTCGACTTAGCGGCTCACTCGTGCGTTAATTCCTAGGTGAGAAAGAGAAAGAAAAGCTTTCTGAAAAGAAAAGCTCATAGATGCATACCTATTTTATGGATTTGAACTGATGCCAGCAAGTGAAAAGTCGAAGAAAATAACTGATAAAACGTGCCGTTTGAATTTAAAAACAAATATCCTATCCATTTATTGATGCCTGCACTCAACCTCTAATATGTTACCTTAAGTCGATGGGTTTTCACCTTTTCTCCAGCCACTGAGTAAAATGCGAGATTTTTATTACATTGACTAGGAGAAATTATAAAGTATAATGCAATTTGTGGAATATGAAACATCATTAAAATAAAATGCCTGCTTACATCATAGAAATAGCAGTGTTTGTTAATAGCTCTACTTATTATGGCGCAACCTATCAAATAGTTAAGCGGATTATTAGGGTCCCTCCTCAAATATAAAGCGGTTTTCACTGGGGTTGGAACTTTTTATAGGGCTAACAAACGGTGAAAAGTGTTTGCAAAGATATTTTTTGGTATTGTAATTTGAATAATTTGTTACGATATAGATAAATAAATAAATATCCTTGGACATTTTACACTGCGCCGC